GGTGACGTGGCACTGGCGAACAAGATGGCGCGTCACCTGCGAACCACCGCTTCTCGAGGGCTCACCGTGCGGAAATTGGACCCTGATCGCATGGCTTTTATTTGTTTCTCTGACGCAGGAGGGGTCGGTGCTTTTGATGACATCCTCGACGATCATGGCCTCCCCGAGGATCCCACGCAGGGCGCTTGGATGGTGCTCGCCGCCGATTGCACTATACAGGAGCATCGATCAGTGCGTGCTTCTCTCTTGGGCTGGCGCAGCTCGAAGCTGCGACGCAAAGCGCCCTCGATTCTAGCAGGTGAGACTCAAGCTCTCTCCTCGGCAGTGGCGGAAGTGAGTATCTACAGATCCTGTATCGAGATATTATGCTCCAGGAAGTTGGTATACAGGATCATCACAAATGATCTGGGCCCTTCACTAATGTCTTTAGAAGCAACTGCAGTCTCGGCTCCTGGGGGCGACAGGTGCATGTGGTAGATGCTAGATCTATATACGACACCATGCTCAAGGAGGGCAATGCGTCTGCCCGTGACCGAAGGACGGCCATCGACCTCGCTATCATACGTGAGGCCTTCGAGCGAGCCCAATGCAAGGTTCGTTGGATCCCCCGCGGCTGGATGCCGGTCGATTCCGTGACGAACGACGACATCGCGAAGGGGAATGCCGTTCTCTTCCATTTGATGACGAACGGCAGACTGGTTCTGGTGGACGAGGGCGCCGAGGTTGAACGCCGTCGTGCCCACCCAGGGCTCAAGAACCATACTCAGGTAGCCTCCGGGAAGGTTTTTGGACGAGACAGTGTGGATCTCGTGGAAGGAGCTCCAGGACCAGATCCGGGTTGTTGGTGGTGGGGGTGGTTTCTCTTTTCCTCCGTTCTATTATTCCCATGCTAGTTTGTATGCCTTCCAATAATCTTTTAATTTGCTGTTGTTTCCCTGCTGTCATTCTCTCTCCCTCTCTCTCTCTCTTTCAGGGGCAACGACAGGCAACTCAGTGCAGCCTGTCCTCCGTTGGTCACAGGGACCTAACGGACAGAGGCTGCGACACCTATGAGAAAGTTCGACCTGTGTAGCAGGAATGCAGATTATTCACAATTCGGTTTTGCTTTAGGTCTCATAGAGTGTGTTTTACCGTTGTGGCTCGAGGGAACAACATATTCTGCCCCTGCTGCTGCCGCGCACAGACACTCGCGCGCTCACGCGCACACATACGCATTCATTTACGCACACACATGCACTCAAACTTACGCTCACACTCGCACCCGCGTTTTCATCAAACACACAGTGGCGCTCACAATCACACTCGCACTCGCACTCGCACTGACATCGGCACTCTCGCACTCACATTCGCACGCACACTCGCACTCGCACTCACACCTGCACTCAGTCGTGGGCGGATCTTGGGGGCCTCTTGGACTGTCTCGGGTGTTGAAGGGCAGAACATGCGGACATCGTAAGCTTGTATACTTCTCATGAATTTGGCATCTTTGGCTGGCCTTCCAGGGCCTCCAAGGCGGACTAATAGACCCCAAAGAGAGCCCCAGGGCGGTCTTTGGGGGTCTACCGAGGGTTCCGAAGTCTTTACGGCAGTTTCTTGAAGGGGTCGGGGGGACCGTTGGTGTCGGCTGGGGCTTACTGTCGGAAGTGCACAGGCGCGCCCAGGAACGCTCATGTTTTTTTGGATAACCTGGTTGTCTGAACCACTGCTGATGTTTAGTTTCCGTTTAATCTTCACATATGTATGAGCCTTCAGGCATCCCGCTACGTGCTGAAGGTACGGTGGCGGATCTGATAGTAAACAGCAGGGGACAAGGAACAGGGAGTAGAGAGTATCGAGTAGAGGGTAGGCAGCAGCATAAAGCAGAGGGTGGGGAGTTGGCATTAGAGAACAGAGAGCCGATTTGGAGAATCGATGTCACTTGCGGAACGCGCGTGTACTTTCCCGCCCACTCAACCATACAGTTTTTTCTTTGTTTCCATAGCTTTCCGTATCATACAGCTCTTCCTTCACATCATACCAGGGGTCGTGGGATGAGTGAGCGAGGGGAACTTGTTGAGGATCTGCCGGGAGTGTCAGCCGCGTGGATCCTGATCGGCGTGTCGGGCGGGCGGATTCAGACGGGCGTGTCGGGGTGGGCGGGCGGGTCGGGCCAGGCGGCACATGAAAGTAGCGCGGGGAAATGTGGGCGATGAGGCTTGGTTTAACCTTGAGAAAGCCGCGCAAGGCGACGAACTCATGCCCGCATCTTGATAACGGCGATGGTGGGAGTTGGCACGCACGCGCGTGTGGCCCGCAGGGATGGCGTCCGCTCGGCTTGCGCGGTTGGCCCGCATAGAACTGTTTGATCGGGCTTCCTACAACGCGCATGTGCAGGACCAACGTTTTTGCGCCACATGGTAACATTTGCAGCCAAGTGGCGTGGTCGGAAGGCGTTGCGGTCCGCATTGATGAACAAGAAAGTGTTGGCGTCGGATCCGGCGTCGCACCAGATGTTATGATTTCATGCGAAGGATGGACGTTCGGAGCTGGACATTCAGAAAAGACAATGGGAAATTCTTGCGTCGAATAGGGTTGTGGCCCACAGAGAATTTTGGATAAGGATGACGAGGGTTAAGTTGGAAAGAGCGCGTTCCGTGGGCGCTTGGAGGGGGGAGGGGGTTCTGGAATCGAGCCGCCCCCCCCTGGTTCAAGGAGGAAGGGGGTTCGAGCCCCCCCCCGCTGCATGGGGGGGGTTACAACCCCCCCCCCGGGCCTGCGCTGGCGCCGGCGGCCCCCCTCCCCCTCCCGGGCCGACGCCGGCGCCGGCGGCGGCTGTCGGCGGCGGCGGGGGGCGTCGACGAAGACGACGATTCGAAGGGGAGGGGGGATTCGAACCCCCCTCCCTCCTGGCCGGCGCTGGCGCTGGCGCCGGCTGACGACGGCGACAAAGACGACGACGACAGTGACGACGACGACGACGGCGAGGACGACGACGACGACGGCGACGACTACGACGAACGGCGACGGTGACGACGGCGGCGACGACGACGGCGACGAAGGAGACGATTGTGACGACGGAAGCGACGACGACGACGAGCACGGCGACCACGACGGCGACGACGACGAGGGCGACGACGGTGACGATGACGACGACGGCGACGACGACGACGGCGACGACGACGACAGGCACGACGACCAAGACGGCGACGACGACGACGAAGGCGAAGACGACGGCGACGACGATGACGACGACGACGGTGGCGACGACGACGACGATTGCGACCACGGCGACGACGACGACGACGACGACGACGGGGACGACGGCGACGACGACGACGGGGACGACGACGGTGACGACCACGAGCACGGCGATGACGACGACGACGGCGACGTCGACGACGACGACGACAACGGCGAGCACGACGACGACGACGGCGACGGCGACGGCGACCACGACGGCGACGTTGACGACGACGACGACGACGACGGCGACGACGACGACGACCACTACGACGGCGTCGACGACGACGAGCACGACGGCGACGACGACGACGACGACGGCGACGAGGGCGACGACGACGACGACGACGACGACGACGGCGGTGACAACGGTGACGACGGCCACGACGACGACGTCGACGGCGACGGCGACGGCAACGACGACGACCACGACGACGACGGCGACCACGACGACGACGGCGACCACGACGGCGACGTCGGCGACGAAGACGACGATGGCGACGACGACGACGACGACGACGGCGACGACGACGACGACGACGACGGCGTTGACGACGACGACGACGGCGACGGCGACGGCGACGGCGACGTCGACGACGACGACGGCGAAGACGACGACAACTGAAAGCGCGGGATGCACGCGACGCAACGCGAATGTTCGCATTTGAAGAACATTCCGACGGTCAGGGCAGAGGGCAGACGACTACAAAGGATCTTGTCGTCGTCGTCGTCGTCGTCGTCTTCGTCTCCATCCTGGTCACCATCGCCGCGTCGCCTCCGTCGGCGCTGCCGGCCGCCTGGGGATTTTTGGGGAGGGGGGGGGGTTCGGGGAGGGGGGTGAAGGGGGAGGTGAATCCCCTTGGTTTTGTTCGACGGAACCGAATGTTGGGACCCCCCCCGGTTGAAACGCGCCGCCGAATGTTCCCAAGGCACAGGCCCATGAAATTCGCACCCTCAGAAATTGGAATGTGAACCGGAACGCATGGGGGTGGATGAGGAAGAGGGGATTCTTCATCATATCACATTGGTATGGAGTGGACGGTACAGGGTAGAGAGTGCAGGAAGCGGGTGACGGGTGCAGAGTGCGAAGCAGATGGAGGTCAAGCGAGATGTCCAACACAAGCATGATCAACGCCTTGGCAGAATAATTTCAAATTTCTCAGTTCGTGCTTGTGGGTGATAAGTAGATTTTGCGATCTTTAGCCGTCGATTTTGGCGAGCGGCTGGGCTCCTACGTTTCTGGGTGTTGGTTCGTGGCTCCGGAACTGTAAGGTTTAGCGAAAGTTTGCTGCCGTTTGGCAGGCGGCTGGGTTCCGACGTTCCTTGGGCTTGGGCTGGGATGGGGGTTTTGGACTCGGGCTGGAGTTGTGGATAGGAGATCGAGATGGGCGGAGGGGAGATCGGGAGGAGAGGCTAGGGGAAGGGGCACGACGACGAACGACGACGAACGACTAGCGACAATAAAAGGTGGGAGGGCACCATGAGGGGTGTGGGGATCGACATCAGGGGGGTCAGAGATCAGGGGGTGGGACACGGTAGCGAACGACGGCGCAATACGAATGAAAACAAGGGGAGTGACGGTGGGGTGACCGGCGACAAACGACGATGCCGATTGGCGAGTAAAAGTGAAGGGATCTTTGATCTTCTAGGTACGCAATTTTGCAAGAGGTAAAAAACACATCTTGAGTTCTCCACGTCAGATAATTACCCTGGGTTTTTCCACTGAGGTTGCTTTCGTATACACGTTCTTCAGCGTCGTGGTGCAGTTGTGGGAAGGCGCGTGTAATCAGATGCACATATGCTTGGTGGACGGTCAGCTACGGGATGCATGTTTGTGTTGCCGTCGCCATTTTCCCGAGACGCGGATTCAATGTAGCGACTTGCCCCGCATCCAGCGCCGAACCACGAATCAGTCTTCATTCCGCTGCCTGGTGATGTCGTCATGCCAGTGAGCACGGGTACCTTCTCTTTGGATGATATCTGAGACATCGCCGTTGAGAGGCGTGCCTCCGGATCACAGCAGTCCCAGTCTCACGTCGAAGGCGCTGTCGCCAAATGTGAGAAAGCGTGCGAGGTTCAAGCTTCGCTTTGTCCCCTCCCTGGGTTTGGGAAACAGCAGTCCCTCGAGCGCTTTCGGAGGTTAGGTTTCGAACTTGGCCGTGCTTCCGTGGGCGGACCTTCTCCAAACTGAGTGGGAGTGTAATGAAGGTTCTTCGGTGCTCCCTTTCCAATGATTTCACTCGGCCGACACCGGATCCGCCGACCTTTTGGTATCTTTGCAGCTATGGTTGGTCCTTGCAGGCGCCGATTATGATAATGAACTGAAGCAGTAGCGGAGAGACGGACAAGGATAAATGTGATAACGACGAGGACAAAGAGGAGGAATGACAAGCGGAGGATGAGGAGGAGAAAAAGACTGCGGATGGATATGGGAGGAGGGATAAGGGAGGAGGGATAAGGGAGGAGGGATGGAGGGAGGAGGGACCAAGGACTTGTCGGGCGGACGGAGGAGGGGCGGAGGAGGGGGTTGGAATAGAGGGATGGAGAGCAGGAGGAATTGATGGATGATGGAGGGACAAGTCAGAGGGACTGTCTTGATGGTCGTGGTGGCGTCTTGACACCTCTTGGGGCCCTCTTTGGCCGTCTTGGGGCGTCTTGGAGCCCTCTTTCGCCGTCTTGGGGCGTCTCGGCTGTCGCTGTACATCGTGTGGGGCCGTCTGGGCGGCCTCTTGGTCCGTTGTGGCGTAAACAGGGGACGCTGCAAAGAAATGCGGGATGAGAAAAGGAGGAGAAGGAGGATGAGAAGGAGGAGGAGAAGGAGGAGGTAGGGGAAGGAATGACAGTCTTGGTTTCATAAGTTTGAGCGGGGTGGAGCTCATCTCCACTATGTACGGTTGGCCGGAACTTTGAGCATGCATCTCGTCATTTTCGGCCCAGGCCATCGCCTCAGAGGGCGCCGTTGACTTTATGTAGCATCTGCGTCGAACCAGCCAGCACCACCTAAGACCAAGGAGATAATGAGGCAGATGAGTGGGAAAGGGAGGGGTCGGGGGGGATCCCCTTTGGATATTTTGGGTGCCGCTGCGGGCATTTTGGCACCCTTTTGGTGTCGTCTGGGGCCATCTTGGATCCCTCTGGAGGCTGTGTTGGGCCGTCGTGGGGCCCTGTTGGGGTCGCCTTCAGCCGTCTGGGGACGCTTGGGCCGCTCTTGGGCTGTCTTTGGTTTTCTTTCCGTATTGCTGAGGCCTTCGTGGCGTGCGCGACCACCTCCAACGCTCGAGCAAACATCCCACCCAGTCTTCCGCAACTGAATGGCAAAACTTGGGAGGCCGTGAGTGCAGATCCCCAGATGAGCTTGTTCGAACATTTCAACTGGCGCAATGACACTGCACCATGCTCGTGAAGTTTCACATCTCGGGTGGAAGAGTGATGATGGTGACGACGACATTGACGACGACGATGAGGATGATGGTGGAGGTGGTGGTGGCGATCGTAACGAGGGCAATGACAACGACAACGACGATGACGATAACGATGATGATGATGATGATGATGATGATGATGATGATGATGATGATGATGATGATGATGATGATGATGATGATGATGACGATGACGATGACGATGACGATGATGATGATGATGATGATGACGATGATGATGATGATGATGATGATGATGATGGCGATGATGATGATGCTGTTGATGATGGCGATGCTGATGAGCATGATGACGACGGTGGTAATGATGACGACAATGTTGGCAATGGTGATGACTATGATGGCGGAGGTGCCGATGACAAATATGGCCATGGTGCTGATGAAGATGGTGAGTAAATGCGCGAATATTCTTGGATAGGTGCTTGACAGGAAAACCATTTTCACATATATTCTATTCTTAGCACGTATATCATAAGAGGCTGGAGGAACCAACTAATTTACAATGACTTCGTCATGCGCGCGCGGGAACGCGCGCGTTTGGTGCGCATGATATCAACGAGCGATCGTGCATGATAAATGTGCAAACGAAGCTAACACGCGGAATAATAACATTAAGTCCGGCCTCGGCATGGGGATACAGTCTAATCATCTTCAGACGCGATCGGATATGTCGCGCAAATATTTCGCGGTCCAGCTTTCGGGGCGCAGTTTGTTATTGAAGCACTTGGAGTCGTTAGCTCACATGCTCGACCAAACATCTCACCCACGCGCTCGCAATATTTTCGCAAAGCTCATCTGGCTCAATGACACGAGGACCCTTGTCATGCTGATCCGTGAGTCCAGCGGGCGAGTGATGGTGGCGACGATGCCATCGCCAACGACGATCATGAGGAAGATGATGGCGATAGGTATGGCTATGACACCGAGGGCGACCGCAACGACGATGACGATGACGATGATGATGCCGACGGTGGTGATGATAACGACGATCTTGATTGTGAACCAGGCGATGGTGGTGATGATGACGCTGGCAATGATGACGGTGACGATAATGACGACACTTGTGCAGATGAGGATGATCAAGAAGTGTGCGCGCAGCAGCTCTGCCATTTTAACATGTACTGTGAAGGCCTTAGGGCCGATGCCGCCGACCCTGAAGGCGGGACCTCCGACGGGACCCCAGGGCCTCCTCCCGGGTCCCTGGGGCCAAGCTGGGGCCGGCCACTGCCATTTCAACATGTATTTGAGCGCTTCGGTCTTGACAGGTCCAGAACAAACACTGGTTTTGCAATGACTTCGACATTGTTGAATGATTTCGACATGCGCGCGTGTGTGTGTGGCCTGCGCGGTCTCATTGTGCAGAACGGAACCTCAACTATGGCTTCCTGATGATTTCAGTGAGCGTGCGCAAACAACAATATCGCATGTGTTAGGGCAAACAATTTAGCCGTTGATTGATTTAATGTTTGCCTTCCGTCATTTTTTGATAATGAACTGTTCCGGAAGGAATATGACATGTGCGCACGCGTGTGGCCCGCACTCAGCAAGGTTCCATGATCATGCATTTGTCAGATTAAAGCAAATGCCAGACATAGTACTTGATAGGGGTGGGCGGGGCTTCGAAATTGGGCCTGGCAAGGCCGTGCAGAATATGTATGAAAAGCCATGGCGCGGACGGGGTTCCTTCGGTTCGGCCCTGGCATGGAAGTAGAGTCCAATGCTCATGAGAGAAGAGGATGCGCGCGGCGCGAATTTTTTGTGGTGCAAGCTATGTGTGCGTCCGGAGGCGCGAGCCAACGCACAGGGCGTCAACGAGGCGTCCATGGGCGGGCATTCGGCGAAAGCCTGGAAACGCCAGCCAGCGCACGGGGCACCCACGGGGCGTCCACGGGCGAACCTTGGGGTGAGAACCCACGGGGCGCCCACGAGAAACTGGCGGGCGGGCGCCGAGCGAGAACACAGAAGTGCCAGCCAGCACGGGTCGCCAACGAAGCGCCCACCAGCGGGCCCGGCAGAACCCGGATTTTACAGGCAATGAGTGAGAAAGCGAAGTGAGAGCCCCCAGTGCAAGCATTGGGTGGTGGATCCAGTTTTTGTTTTTCCGAGCTTCCTTCCTCCGAGGAGCTCCTTGCCAGATATCAGATAATTGCCAACCAATCTCGACGCCAAGAGGGTGACACGTTGTCTCACGGGCCCCGAGGATGCTAATTAAAGGTTGCTGTCGAGGCAGTATATCACTTGAACCCAGCGGGCACAAGAGCTGTGCAGGGCCTTGCGAGGCCGCCTTCCAGCCAAATCTGGGGTATCGTGCCGGGAATCACTGCAGCCCCGGGCTGAATTTCTCGCCGGGAATTTGGCTTCCCGATTGTTGGTGCAAAATCGTGAGACGGCTTCGCTGCAGTAGGCCCGCCCCCCATATCCAGATGGACGCAACCATCGAGTGACCATCCGAGGCCACGCCACGAAGATGTTGCTGCAGCCCATCCGTGACCACGAGGTGCGATAACCCTTAAGGGTCCTACCAGAAAGCCTGCCCTGCCTCTCACCAGTAAGGCGGCAGGGCGCACGTGCCGCAGTGGTACGATGTGCTTTTTGTGTGAATCTGAACGAACGACAGCGAGCTCCAGCGGCCCCGACTGCTGCGTTCTTCGAGCGCACCGCCTCAGGTATTTGCCCACCGCGGTGTGCTGCGCGTTGTGCGGCGCGCCCTCGAGCGTGCCGTTTCAGAGCGAGGCGCTGCATGCTGATCCTCCCTTGCCTCTTGAACTCCGAGACGCTCAGCGGGAAGACCACGCCACCCGGACCGCATTCTGCAGTGAGACCTTTGATGACCACCGCCGCTGCCACCAGCGATCGGACGTTTGAAGTCCTTGTCAGATGATGTCTTCATCTCGTCTCATCGACGGCGGTCATCAAACAGCACCCAGGTCGTCTTGATAGTGTGCCAGGCTGCCAGAGCTCGGCACGACAGGGACATCATGCCCTTGTGCTCTGGGAAGGTGTGAGCAAACCCTGATGGAGTATAGCCCCCACGATAGAGATATCTGCAGTAAGAAAGGCCTTCCGATCACCGTCGACACACTTCTCGCCAACGATGCGCCTCCAGCCTGCCCTTCACTGTCCTTGGCAAATCTCTCGCCTGCGACGCCGCCAGCCTCAGAGTTTCTGGGTCTCGCCCACTTGGAGCCCCTCTGGAAGGCCCATCCACCGCGTTCCTCTCGAAGCTCACCCACCTGAAATGCCGTCGAATGCCAAGCACAAGGGTTGTGAATCGCTCGCTCTTGCCCGTCGTAGAAGTGATCATGGAGACTGGCGCTCCCTGGCCGGGTAGGCCATGGTGACGAGACTGTCCGTGATCACGAGAGTATTCTTCTTCCATTCTCTGCCGCGCTGGATCAGGCGGCGGAGCACCGTCACGACCGTCCTGCACTCGAGCGCGTTCTGGTGCTCCTCGCGATCCCATGTGCCCTCCGCGATGGTTTCCCTGTCCTTTGCCGCCCCACGCCACCGGGTCCCGTCACCAGCGCCCGCTTCAAACGGAGCGCTGCCCCCAGCTTTGCGCATGCAGGAGCTCTCGGCGCCACCAGCCTCGCGTACTCGTCACACAGCTGCTCAGCTTACGGTCCAGCCACCTCGGTTCACCTCTGGCCCTCATTGACGAACAGCGGGAACTTCTTTGGGCACTCCTCTCCTCAACGATCGATGCGGGCATCCCGTCCCGCGCGGGCCCTCGGTACCCTCGTTCCTGGGCTCGTAGCTCTGGCATGTTGGTGGAGAGCCTCGCCGGCATCCTGCACCGTGTTCCCGGCTTGCAGAAGCCCAGGTACATCAGGTCGATTCCTTCGCGCTGCATGAGCGAGA